CTCGCAGCTGTTCAGCCCGAGATGGACAGGTCAGTTAGGAAGATCCTTTCTCTGCCTCTGTTCGGGGATGACTTCTGCCAATGGTTAGTTGATCTTCGGATGGCTCAGTTCGAGAAGCTCTGTGCTGTTTCGGATGGGACGATCGACGAGTGTGTTCAAGCGTTCGTGAACTTGGTGCCTGCACTCGAGGCTCTCTATAGTATACTCTCCGGATCTGCGGAAGACGGAGGAAGAGCTCGCCAGGTGGGTTCCGATGATAGAGATACTTTTCGCTCTCGTTCGGAGCACGGCTAAAGCTGGTACTGCAGATCTGGCGACTGACCTTGGCTTCGGTCTGGCTGAGATCGCAGTGACCGTGGGGCGATCCCCCCGAAGACGAAGAGGAGCTCGAATGAGCCCCCGCTGCCTCTCCCGCTCGCAAAGCGACCGAGGGCGATCGAGACTCGAGCCGAAGATGCCCAGACGTCGCTTAAGGCTCGCGAGCTCGGCGAGGCGCGGAAGTGGGGCATGAGGCTCAGAGCGATCGTGGAACGTTGTGGCGAACACGCACAACGATCGCTTCGGGGCCGAAACCTGGGTCCCCGCTCTCACAGGAAGAGATGAACGCGCTTCGCTCGATAGTCTATGAGAGCGGCGGGTTCAGGACTATTCAGCCGCCACTGGGAACGTCTTGAAACTTGGGCAAGGTCACAGAATATCAACGCCATCCCGTTGACCACGGAGGTGTTGGTGAAGTACGTTCTGGACCTGGCCGATCGTGGCTGCGGGCCCACTGTGATTCCCTCGGTTCGGGGAGCCGTGAAGTGGATCTGCAAGAGGATCGGCCTGCAGGCACCAGATCTCCTCGACGCTCGCATGATGGCCCTTCAGAAGAGGGTCTACGGCGAGCGCGGAAAGGAGACTCGCGAAGCAGTACCGATCCCTTTGGTACTGGTGGCTTCGCTCGAACGGTTTGTGTGCGCACGGTTCCGATCGAGTCAGTTCGTGCTGGCTTTCTTCGCGTGGTGGATCCTGATCATGATCTACTCTTCGCTGCGGTTCGACGATGCCATGCATGTCGTCCCCGAGGCGCTCGCCATGAAGGACGA